TCACCGTACCCCAACCTAGCTTCCACATCTTTCCTACCGCAAACAAAGGTTGGGTGACATTGCCGCAAACAGCACTGTCAGTGATCTTCAACTTCTTTCCAGACTCCTTTGTGAAAACAAACGTCACATTCTGCCTCACAGGCAACGTTGGGATCACTTTCCCTTGCGCATCTTTCAGATGATACTCAAAGTTCGAAGTTTCTCCGACTTCTTCTGCCCAATCCATAGGCAACACATGGCAGTCAGCTCCACTGTCGAGCACTACCTCACATGCATCCACTTCTCTTGCTGTTCTTCTCACATCATCTCCTTCAGAAACCATTCTCACACTTCTTTCAACTTCTGTTTCCAAGAACCACCATCCTTGGTACCACTCCATCAAACCATCAGTCGGTTCCTCCTCGATCTCTTCCACTTCATCGCTCGAAGAGATATCAAACTCCTCAACTCTTCTCAGCTCTCCTTGAACCAAACCTTCAAACTCTTGACACAATCTTACAAAGTTGAGCTCTTCATCCTCATCGTTCCACTCTTGTGTCATTTCTACTCTTCTTGCTTGTCGCGCTGCTTCAGCTGTGATCTGCCTCACTTGACCAGTCTCATTCTTCGCAGGAGGGGCATTGCTAGAGGAACTCTTCTCGTGATCTCCTTGATGGGTTCCTTCCTCTTCTACCTGTCTCACTTTGCCTTTACCTCCTTTTCCCTTTCCTTGATTCTGCCAGCAATCAGCTGCTTTGTGTCCTGTCTTTCCGCATATGTGGCACTCTCCTGTGAACTTCCCTTTCCCGTAGCCACCAGCGTCCACTGCTCGTGCATTTCTATAACCACCTTTTCCTTTTCCTTTGTTGTCGTATCCTTTTCCTTTTCCTTTGTTGTTGTATCCTTTTCCTTTTCCTCCTTTTCCTTTGTTGTCGTATCCTTTTCCTTTTCCTCCTTTTCCTTTGTTGTCGTATCCTTTCCCTTTGTCTTTTCCTTTTCCTTTCACTCGATCAACATCCATTGGTTGTGGCCCATTGTAGGGTGTATTCTTTGTTGCGCTTTCCATGTTGAAAGACTGCAAAATGTTCTCCGCATTCCACGATTGGGTACTCCTTTCATACTCAAGCAACTTTTTCCTGATGTCGGCGTACTTCGTCGTAGGGGTCAATCCTATCAGGATATGCTTCCTTAACTCATTTGGCAAACCTTTGAGTACTGTTCCGATTTTCAAATTCTCATCGTAGGGTTTTCCTTCGGACAGTTTTTCGTATTCCGCAACCAGCTTTTCGTAGGTAAGCAGATAGTCTAAGATAGAAGTCCCCTTCGTCATCTGGGGAAAGCTCACTAGAGCTTGAGCCATTGCCAGCCCTCTTGTTCGGCTTGACGGCTCCAACTCTTCAAACAGTCTCCTCCAGACAGAATATCCATCTGGACTTCCTTCTGACTTCAATAACTTCAATGGCCTGTTCCTAAGATACGAGGCCAAAATCGCATACAGCTTTGTACTTCTCTCTCGTTCACCAACTGTATAATCTGCTGGATTTGGTGGTGCCAGCTCCACTTTCTTCAACTCTTCTGCATAGGTGGGATCAATGAAGCCCACAAACACTTTGAAACTGAAACTCCAATCTGGCCACTGTGAAACTTCCTCCTCCAAACTCTTTGGAGCGAACACGTCCGGACTCTTCACCAGCTTAGCTGCAGAGTCGTAACTTCTGGTACTTCCTGTACCTGCAGCACTCGCCAAAGCTTGCGCTGCTGCCGACAGGTTCCCTATCAGGGCCTGAAGGGATCCTCCTGCAACTCCTTCTGGTGCAGGCATCGCCATTGGCGTATCACTTGGTGTATCTCCTCCTTGACCACCGTGACCAGGGGACACAGGCAAATCCGCGTCTCCAGCTGGACTTGGCGTGGCCATTCAACTTTCCTATCTTTCACTTTCCGTGACACTGGGGCCCAAGGCTCGTTTCTCCTTGTATTGGGCTCTTCTTCAGCCGAAGGTCCTGGCCTTCAGCTCCGCTACCATAAAACGCTTTACGGGTACGTTCCGGACCCTTTCACTTCACACAGATATTCGCACTTCACTTTTCCTCGGGCGCACGGCTGTCTTGGGTGCGTCCCTTGAGCCTAAACACCACAGTGGAACATTTGTTCCATACTATACAAAATCATGTGGCAAACAGCTCATCTACAGGATTACAGGGCAACACACTCCTAAGCGAAATGTTTGTTACATGGGGATCCTTGAATGGGGGGGCGTGAGGGACCCTTGGCGATTAAATGCAGACCCAAAAATGCACACCGGACGCTCACTCAGAATGCCACCGTACTTGGACGCCGCCTCTTGTGCTTGTTCTGCATCTGAAGTGTGAGCCCTAGCATAGAATGAAATCGGTGGGGACCACATGCTGTCACGAGCATCCCAATACGAGGGTCGAATCGTTCCCTCAAGGAGGATAGAGGCGGCCCCGGCCACTGTTGTGTTGTGTGCAACAGGCATACGAGCAATCCCTGCTGTCGAAGTCTGCGACTTGATCATGGTCCTCTCAAAGTGGTTGAAGTGGATGCTCAAACACTTGCACGAACTCGACAAAGAACGAAGCTCAACAGATCGAATGTTTGCAGCTTGATCGGCTGCAGCAATTGCTTGAGAGACATACTTCAATGCTGTCGAGTTGACAAACTGAGAAGGAAGTCCTAACAGGCTCATCAGATAGTCCGCAGTGCTTTGCATCAAGGAGCTGGGAACTTGCAACTCAAGATTGGCCTGTATCTTTCTCGAAATCTCACATGCCGATTTCATACGGCCAGGGCTGGAACTGATCAAGTGACGTAGGGCAGTAAACATGGGGTATAATGCGACCCAATTGAAGTTGGCTGAATACACTTGTATCAGCTTCGCTTCTTCATCACGCACTTCCAACCCACGAAGTTCAGGAATCACGAAGAAGTTTGAATCTTGTTCCCACTCAACTTCCACATGCCCTTTGAGAAGAGATCGATTCTCAAGATGCTCATACGATTCTTGCAAGGGTTTAACCCGATAGACGTAAGTCTGGTCCGCACTGAGCTGCCACCCTACACGATCAGCATGAGTACCGGGAATGTTATCGCAAATCGCACGAAGTCGAATGCTGTTAGGATCTGCAACAAGAGAAACTCCGCTTCCATGGACTTGCCGAAGTCGTTTTGAGGGCTGGGAAGAATCATCCGTCTGAAATGTGATGGCTGACTGCTGGCTCTGACCAGAAGCTGCTGAATGACTTTGTTGAGAAACAACAGTCTGCTGAATGTCGAGCAAATTGTTGAGGCCGGCATACACATCTCTGTGACCTCGGACATGAGTCAAGTTTGCCGACATAATTGCTGAATATTCAGCAAAATCGGCCACCGAACGAAACGACAGACGGAAACCTGTGCCATCTGCATGAAGAGTGATGGCTGGTGGAACCTCTTGCTGTGGAACAGGTCGATCACTTGCAGCACGTACGGCTGTCGAGGTAGGAGCTACATCTGCTGTTCCCAAACCAACATTGCATGCAGAAGAGATCGGCACAGATGACGGAGCTGGCGTCGGGCAAACTGCAGGAGTGGGGGGTGGGGGAGGGAAAGCGGGAGGGGGAAGGGGAGGGGGGGGTGGAATCCACTTCGGTGTGGTGCCACGAGAGGAGGGCTGGGCAGCAGTGGGGAGGGGAGGGGGGGGCAAAGGAGGGAGGGGAGAGGAGGAGGGTGGAGGGAGAGGCGGGGAAGGAAGGGGGGGAAGAGATGTCCCGGTACTGCGTCCTTTGCCTGAAGTATCCATGGCAAATTGATCAGCAACTACCAAAAGTACAGCTCATGTACTCAACTTGCAGCCGAAGACCTGCGACAAGTCAGCGGTGAAGTCAGGTTCGTCGGGAAAGTCAATCAGATCATAATAAAGTCAATGAGAAAGTCAGCATTCAGTTTCGGAGAAGGCATTTGGGAAAGACTCACTGAGAAAGTCAGCATGCAAGCATGGATATAAAGTCAAGGGAAGTCATCCAATGCTTATGCAATCAATCGGGAAAGTCAGCGCCAGAGCTACCTCTGGGAGACACGGCGCCCATACGGAATGCCGTTGTGAAGCACACTTGACACATCGTGTCGCAGGTCTGATCTGTCGGTGCATATTGTCAGAAGCTGTCAGGAAAAGTCAGAAGCTGTCAGGGGAAGTCAGAACATGCAATCAGAAGTACTACCATAGGACAAACGCGAATCACTCATGTAACTGCACATGGAACTGCACATGAAACTGCACTGCACTCCTACCCGCAATCAACAGTTGTGTGGTCACAAGCTGCACAAATGTGCCCATGCCGACCACTGCAGGTACGTTTACCTGTCTCAATATCACGGAGCTTCATTGGCAGAGGCCGTGAAATGAGACCCTCTGCCCCCTGCTGCTTAACTCACTCACGTCTCTTGGAAACAGAGTTGGACACACACACACACACACACACACACACTTTGGCTCGGCACGTACTGATGCGACGGAAGGCAGACAGGACCAGACGAGACATCAAGACAGATTGCACAAGTCGTCGTCATGGGCTAGGTTTCTGGCTCAGAACAGGATAGGTTTCGGTCCCTTATTCCAGACGCAAGGAGTGGAATGTGTTGTCGTCGCGCCAAACAAGGAAAGGCATATGTTGCTGTTTGCAAAGTGCAATGTTACAGGGATATGGGTTCTGTCCCCATTGAGGATACCAGCTGCAGACTCAGCCACCCATTTACTCCTCTTAGCAGGTACGTTTTCACGTCTGCTACTCATGGTTTTCGTTGGTCCCAACAAGAGTAACAGACCTGGGACCCCCTGCACATCCTAAGGAGAACATCTCACTCGGACGCCATGTACAGGCGTTTACACACACACACACACACACACCCAAACACCTCCACAAAACACTGCCCATTTCGTGACATACATAAATTAGTGAATTCACACCACTCAAGGAATTGGATGGAACTGGAATGACTCGGCATGCGCTTGGCCCACGTGCCTGCTGCCACTGTCCGACGCCAGCACAAGCCCCAATCAATGCACCGAAGCCTGAAATAAGTAGCACTTCGGTATCAGGTAAGGTGATGCTGATGCTGGTTTTGGCCGGAAATCCACGCATGCAAGTTCTCAAACCGGAATGAAGCCACGACAGGGTCACATACCTCACGCGAGCTCAATTGAAATTGTGAACCCTGGAAATGAAACATGCTCCCAGGTGCTCACAACGTCTGGGGAAAGTCCCGCTTGCAGCAAGGAGAGCAAGAGATGAGAGGCCCTTTGCCAGCTGCCACTCAGAGTACAGCAGCTGATGGCGCTGTTGAAACCTCAGTAAAGCCACAGCACACTTACCCTTAGACAAAGACTGATGTCATTCCGACCTGGACCAAGTGCTGGAATTTTGTATGTCTGCTGATACTTCTGGAAAGTCTGTTTGAAGAATACGCTTCAGATTCGTTGTGAATCTCTTTGGGGGACATCCGGGTCAGTCAGTCTGAGCTGTCCGTTCGAGATGTGTTGGGTCAGTTTGATGTTGGCTTTGGGTCCGCGCCCTGGGGTTATGTCGAGTCTCCGGCAAAACAATCTAGCGCTGCAGCCCCTGCCTCTTTCTCTTCCGTTCCTTTTCTGAGAGGCCAGAGCACTGATCAAGTCTGGAAGGAGTCGTCTGTTCTTCATCTCCATCCTTGGCAGCTGATGAAAGGACTCGCGCTACCTTCCACAGCTTGCTCGGGCGATCGCTGAACTTCCTGTTCGAAAACCTGAAAGGCAGGTCCTGCACCCTACGGTGCCAAAGCAACTTAAGCTACCAATTACCAGAAACAACACCCGTGGATGCACTCGATGTTTGCACATACCTTTGTTCCAGTGACCCAAGGACTCACAGTACAAATCCTAGATTGTGGGTCGTGGTTGCATCGTTGCGGTCAAGCTGCAGCAGATGCCACGCTTCTTCCCAAGCTCCCACGGACTCGCATGCGGTGATTGCGCTGTTGTAGCCTCAGCTTAGTACGGTGTCTCAGGGGAGATTGGAGGCCCGAAGCAGAGAAGTGTCGGCGGCCGAGTAAGACATTGAGAGCGAATGACATAAACGATGCGAAAAGCGTGCGTTTGGCACTCGCAGGCCGAGCGGCTGATCACAGTTGGTGCGATACTCCTGGACGAGGCTCTTCCGATGCGAACCCGCGCACATCGCCAAGACATTGTAAGAACACACTTTGGGGATCTCTTTCTCTATGGCTCTCTCAGCCTTCCGCGCATCACATCCAGGAGGCTTCTTGCAAGCTCCGGCCGCCGAGCCACTGCCAGGGCACCTTAGTCCACTCTCACGCTCGGATTTCTGCTAGGCCGCCAGGCTAAATTTGCTGCCACGTTGCTCAGTACAGCATTGAAGACCACGACATTGGCAGTCACCTTTCCGGCTCCCGGCCGATCAGAATCATGACGAGTACGACCCGATCCCAGCCTCCCAGTGCTTCAACTGGTCGAGAACATGAAGCGACCTCCTGCACAAGTACCGAGTCGTATTCAACGCATCGTATATCGCAAGCGAGCTGTCTTTTGGTGCTAATTACTGATTTTCTCTTTGAGTAACCTTCAATTCTCTAGCTGCGGTCACGCAGCAACCTGCATCCTGTCTGAACTGCTGCGAGCAGCGAGTCACCTCCACCTACGCGCTGAGGCAAGTGAAGATGCAGCCGCACCGAAAGTGACGATGGTGGGTACCAGCGGAACCTGGCGCCGGGTTTAAAACTTCAGCTCGGCCGCACAAAACTTCAAGAGAGATTCGTTGAGACAGCACCATATCCGACACCATGAGAAAAGAGCGGAAGGCTTGGCGGCTCAACGTCCTTGCGCCTCGATTCTGTGCAGCAATTAAGAGCTCAACGTCTTCGGCTCTCTTCAGGCAACGACGAATTCTTGGAAGAATTCTGAAGCATTGCCGGTGGAAGAAGGCCACCCTGCCTGCACCCTGCAAAGTGCCCAGCAAGACCTCCCGTTTGCCTCGAGAAGTGAAGTGAAGAGGGAGCAGGACCTTTGCCACTGGCGATCCTGCAGGTACTAGGCATCACTGTCATTTGCGCATCAGGGAGGCCGGTTCGGCTGCCGGCTGGCTGCCTTTATAGCATTCAAGGGAGGAGGCCGCGCACGAAATGCTAACGACAAAGCATCGTTGAGATCCGTCTCAAGCTGGCAGCTCATGAATGCACAAGGGCGCCGGGAAGTCAACAGCTGCGGAAGCTTTAAACGAACATCCAATGCATTGAAGCTTCCTCCTCCGATGCGCTTATAGCGGCATTGAATCCAATAGTCGTGGGCGGGAGTCTCCTGCAAGGCGTTCTCGCTGAAGCGTTTGGACGACAGCACGGCCAGGTTCCCTTCTGCTCAAGCTCAGCCCTCAGCTTCTCTGGTCTCCTGTGAAAGCTACCGTGCAGAGTTTGCAAGGCAGGCTGCCACCGCCCAGCACGCTCACAGCCAGAAATCGCGGAGTTGCACCTGGCAGTATCATCGGTACGCTGTGCAAAGTCCATCGTTCAGACTTGCATTAGTATCGGAATCAACTACGTCGGGAACTTTCAGTCGCCATTGCCTTGTGACCCCTTTCGCTCCCTGCGCTGTTTTCTAGCTCCACCCCCCAAACAAGTGTCAGAATTCTTGCACAAGGCACGCGACGGCACCCAGAGCTGCCGCGGCAAAAATGCATATCGCCCGTGTCCAAGCACTGCCCTGACCACAAGCACCTCGGAGCCCCAAGCGGGCTGAATGCGAATTTGAAGGTGGGTCGGTCTGGGCATTATCCGGGCTAACCCGTAACCCAGGCAGAAGATGTGCTGGCAAGGGCTGACTGCTGCTGCGAGCACTCACTGCCGCACTGAGCGCGACAGCATCCATCTCCAGCTGCCCGCAAAGCAAAGAATCCAGACAGCGGAGGGCCTGGGCAGCGAAAGAGAACAGCGCTGACACGAGAATCTGAAGCCAAAGAGCGCCGAAGCCAAAGCGCAGGCCGAGCTGCCGGAGACCAGCGAGCGGACTTCTCGCAGGCCGTGATTGTGGCGCTGATGCTTTGGAGGTCCTCCAAAGACTCAAAACATCGACTCCCAGGCTTCTCGTCGATCGGTTTTTTGCGACACGTCGGTCGGAGTCCGACTCCAAGGCTGCCCCTCTGGCGAGGCCGAGAACACGCAGTGCTTGGTGCCATTGCTGGCCCCTTCCGCAGGCTCCGATGCCTTGGCCCCCACATTGCGAAGCATTGAAAGTCATGTCAGACGGATTTCAGGACAACGTCCCGCTGGCAAGCCTGACGACACCACGATGAGGTCAACAGAGACCGTCGGTGGGACATCTTGGAGCAACCTTGACATCCGGCTTAATCTAAATGGTGTTGCAATCTTTCGCCGCTGTACAGTACACCTATGACCCTATGCCGCCCACAGGCGTGTACATCTACACGAGAAGAAAGATGCTGTGATTCCAGGATATCATGACAAAAACGTGACATGAATATCCTGTCGGTCTTGCTGCACGGCTCAAAAGGAACGTGAAGGTATGCGTGTGTGATGGGTGTGATGCCAAAATGGGCTTCCGGCTGCAGAGCGGTCTCCCAACGCCTGGAGCTTTTGATCTCCTGCGGCCACGACGCGACGCCGTGTCTAAAACGTCCTTGAACGTCGTAAACACCGTGCAGGTGAGATGTGGAGAAGAGGGTTTTAGGAACTCTCCAAGCCCCGCAGTTCCCGGCCTTGGTGAGACGGATGAGTGCTTGCCGCGATTCCTGCCTCTGTCTGGCACCATCACCGGATCTGGGCAGGAGGCAAGCCGAGGTGGTCCGGCAATGTCACATCCGGTACTTGGGCTTCAGAGCAAAGCAAACTAGCGGTGCAAATATGTGGACAAACTGGAATCAGTGTCTGTTCTACTGGCCAGGAGCTCAGCAACATCCCTCATGCCGCTGATGCTTGAAGCACAGCACTATCCTGTGCTTCCCATTCGCAGCCTCTTCGTGGCCGGGGCCCATTTCATGTACAGGTCAGTTGCTTGAGCACCAAACCGACGTCAAGCGGAGTCAGCAAGGAGGCCAAGGATTCATCTTGCGGCCCTGCAGCTTGCACCAGCTTCCCAAGGTCGCAGCCCCAGGCCCAACACACCATCGAAGGAAAACGCGTGGAATGGCTCTTCCGTCATCTGGCGGGTGTCGCTGCATTCCGCAGAGTCTGGTCATCTTGGGGGGTTTAGGTTTTGCGACTATGGCCTAAACTGACTTTCACGGTCACCCTCTCGTGGCTTACCGTGACTGTGACTTCAGGGCAGAGACTCCAGGCTTTGAAGATCTTTGAAGTGGGAACTTCGACGTTCGACCGAAGCTCACAGCTCCAGTTTGCCGCTACGGTGTCAGAGTCGTAGGACGGGCGGGACCTGAGTGCTGTCTGGCTTCAAGCCATGCTGGGCTCAGCGTCGTTGGGATGTCTCGGCGGGCCTCCGTGGCCATGACTACTCGGAGGTCCACGCAGTTCAAGGCCTTGGACACTTCAAGGCGACACCGCTGCTGCTGGACATTGCTCGAGCTGTTGCAGGCATTCCTGACTTCGAAGGTATTTGGCAGGGTAAAGTTGAGTTCATGATAGTTCATGTTCATAAATCAAATACCCCCCACTACAGAACCCGAATCCCGAAAATCATGTATCAAATCCCTCTCGATTAAGAAACCCGATCCGGAAAACTTCAAACTAATCGAGGGGGAGGGGGTTTATTGCTGAGTTCCAGTCGATCTGAGGCTCAGATCTCCAGCAGCTGTGTAATGGACGCAAGCAAGGGCATATGAACGGCATATGAACAGGGCGCTTGAACGTGACCAACCTGGTTGGGACCCCGCTTGGCTGAGAAGCATCGCGTTGGATGCGTTGCCAAGGGCCTTGGTGTGACCTCGAGCAATGGTCATGATGACATCATGCTGCATGCCACGTCAAGTAGCTTCCCAAACGTTCCTGTGTGATAGTTCGGCATTGAGCAGTCAAGCGACTTCAAGCAGAGTTTCTTCCAGTCTGAAGCATGTCGTAGACCCCAGCCCGCAGAACTGCTTGCAGATCTTCGCCACAGTGTTCTTACAGCTCGTGCTTTCTGTCGGAACTCCGCACCGACTTGGCAAACATACGCACAAACTCTGTAATTACTTGCCATGGGTGATAAGTGCAGAGATGTTCTGAGGACTCGGGTCAGGTCGTAGCGTGGGACTTCCGACAGGTATCTTTTCTGTCGCACGCTGGGCTCGCAGCCTTTTTGCGCGCTCGGAGTTCTGCCCAGCTCGGCTTCTCCAGACCTCAGAGTGACCCGTTGGATGTACTCGCAGCTCGGATTTTGGACGTGGCGGTTCTGGCCTTGGCGGATTCGGTCCACGGTCGCGTGCTGAGCTAAATAAAAATCGACACCCGCCCAAAATCCTTGGCAGTGACACAGTGACCTAGCGGGATGCCAACGGAAGCCACACGTCTGGAACATTGTCTGGGTCACGCACTGAACCAGTAGCAACGGCTCTGTGTACGAGGGCACTGCCTTGAAGGCTAAGGCTCAGTGAGAAAGCACCCATGCTCTGCAAACGCAGCACAAGTAACAGAGGGTAAGTATTAAGTATGTTGCTTGCAGAAACTGCCGAGCTGGGCTCACGCAGCGAAAGGCTTGGCTACGTGCGATTGCCGGGGCAGCAGGGGCAGCTCCATGCGATCCAAGGCAAAGCCTAGGAATGCGGAAAACGACCGAACGGTGCTGCTGCACGCGATCCCGGCCTGTCTTGCACGAACTGCCCCGTCACCTCCCCGGTCCCGAAGGCCACGGTAATCTGGTCCCGTGGGGACCCTGCCACACGCTTTTCTTCAACAATTTGGCTTAACTGTCAGGGTATCGGGCCTGCTTGCACCGGAGATCCGTCGTAGTCGACGTCAACTGCGGCAGGTGAAGCCTTCAATGCACTACGAGAAACAAAATCCAGACGTGCCGAAGAGCAGACGGCAGACTGTGGAAGTACTCGTCTACACTGAGCACCAAAGCGTGTCAGTTTCAAAGCTCTGCTGCCAAAGATTCCAAATGCCTCTCTGTTGTACCGGTTGTGGATCCGGCAGGTCTCGCTGTGGCACCTGGGAACCATTGACTGCAGGGGACTGTGGTACATTTCGCAGGTTCGCTAAGGCGCATGCTCACTCGAAGGAATGATCACGTGACCTGCAGTTATCACAGCAGCTCCTTACTTTCTGCAGTTTAGGATCTCGCCGGAAACTGTTCAAGCAAAGAGGTAAGGACGCTGCCCGAGCCGGTGTCGAAAACGACCGCGAACTTCTGCTCAGGCGAGCCCACCTTGAGAGTAGCTCACAACGCGAGGGGAAGCCCGGAGAGCCCACTGAGGACGCCGACGGTTACGGAGCCAAAGTAGACGCTCTTGTACCTTCCAGCTAGTAGAAAACAGATCGTCCCAAAGTCTCACAAAGAAAAAAGTGCTACACATCATATCTTCTACTGTCGTTAGTCCTGGGCGATGAACACGCGACGTCCCGAGGCCCCAGCGAAATTCGGTCATCCTCTCCTTGCACAGGCACCCTCTGCCTATGTAAAGGCACCTCAGAACAAAACAGGGGCTCTTCACGTCAATGTGGGCGGTGATTGCACGGAAGAAGACTCTTTCGGCATACTGGGGTGCTGGCCACATGTCTTGCAGGAGTTGTGAGAGCCTAAAATCGCCAAAGATTGAACAGGATTGAGGGACCAGATCGCCATGCTCACAGAAAGTGGCACATGCCACACATGTTCCGGTGCCCAAGCATAAGCATTTCCAACTGCCACGGCGATCCCAGATCGATAGTGAGCTGCAGGTACTCACCACGGCCAGGGTTGCGGAACTGTTGCACGTACACACGGTGCATCACGGTGCATATGCAGCATAAGTCAACGTCACAGCGCCGCTGCGCCGCTGCGAACATGCGCGTGACTCACCCCTGGAGATCATGACCCGACAACGCAAGCCTCTGGAACGGCACCGTAGACCCATGCGCCAAAAGGCATTTCCTATGCCGAAAGACCAGCGCATACTAAGCATTTCCCAAATCATCACCCGACGAGGTTCGAGACAGCCGCAGGAAACAAGCTCTTCCCGCAGTGTCTACGATGTTACCCGGCGATGCCAAATGTCATGGGTACGTACCGCCGGGGGTGTCTTCAGCGGTATCCGTCAGTTTAATGGCTCCTAGGCAAAGTAGCTCAACGTTGGATGCCGATGGTTGGGCCCATGCTCCGCATGCGGTTTGGAAATCATGTGAGGCTCCTGCTGACTGTTTGCCTAGGAGGCCAAACCTCCGTCCGTCTTCTTAGGTTGGGAGATAAGCCCTCTGTACCTGGATCCCGGAGTTGAAAACGTGTTGCTTGTTCTTGGGTTTCGAGGAGTGCCTCGATTGCACCTTACGAATGGTTGGCATGAAATGAACACTCACGCGCAATGCCAAAGGCTAAAGTACGACCGCTGATCTGCACATCTCGGGCCATGGCTTCACAGATGGTTGCAATGGCAATGCAAGTCCGCAGCATGAAGCTTCCTGATCCAAACGCTGAACTCTCAGTGCTGACGCTTGTTATATCTTGCTATTGTTTACAAAATGGCGCAGCTGCATTCAAACGACAGAACTCCTCTCCAGCCAGGCTGCGAAAAGCTGGTAATAGCCGATGAAGGCGTGATTCTGGGTGGTGGCAAGCCGGGCAAGTCGGTGCAGGCTCAAATGAAGGAAAGGGTGCATAAGGATAGAGATGAAATTGCTCAAACCTCTTCTGCAGAGCATTCTGGGGCGAAGATACCCCGGCACCTGCCACCACCCTATATGGATTCGTTCTCTGAAACGTCAGTAAATCGTCCTTCGGAGCCAGACAGTGCGTGACAAAAGCGGCTGTGACAGTATGTGACAGCATGTTGTGAAGATGCCGGCAACAGGAAGAGATCATTTTGTCCGCTCTACACGGCCGGCGGTCTCGCAGAGAAGCCGGACATCAGCACGGCCTGCTGATCGCGTGCTTGGTTCTAGATGCTGCTCGATCCGCAGAACTCCGCAATGCAGGTGCTGGCATTTTGCTTTTCATCGACTGGGAGGTCTAGTGTTCGGAGTCCAATAGTGAGGCGGTCAAGTCACATGCCAGGCCGAAACAGGTGGGTCCCGCAGTGACCGCCTCTGCCGCGCAAAAAAACGGCCAAGGTAAAGCCAAGGGTAGCCGATGAAGTCACTCAACTCTTGTGAGTGCCTTCAGCGTGCTTTCAGCACTTCAGCTCAGGGCGTGATCTGCAGCTCCATAAGGCCTGCAATCTTCACGAGCAAGGTGTTTAGCTCGTTGTCTTCGTTGCGAGATAACCGCTCGAAGAACAAAATTGAGCTTGCAAGCTTGGGCTCGTCAAAACTGCCGATCACCGAACGCGCTGCCTTCCCAGCCACCAAGTGCTCGCAGAGGGCCTCGAGGATGGCGAAATAGTTTGCACGTAGGTCCACACCGTCGGCCTCATAGTTCAGCCAAGCCCGTCCTTCCTCTTCGGACCTGGGACAGGGAAATGAGAACGAGGCCCAAGTCCATCCCTCCTACAGTAGGTAGCCCTTCGCCGCCTTCGCCCTTAGCCCGGCCTGATGGCGTACTTGCGGTTAAGGCTGCTGCCGTGCTCGATGTTGTTCTTCATGTGCGGTGGCGAAGGGATCACAAACCACATCCAGCAGGACGTCTTGCGGCCTGCCTGGATTTCCTTCAAAGCACGGTCGAAGGTGTCATTCTCCTTCTGAGCGTCCGTGAAGCGGGCCAGGTCATAGGTGTCCCCCATACGCTTCGGTTGGCTTTGTGATCGAGCACGGCAACGTGCATAGTCCCGTGGTACCGTCGTTTTCGGAGTCAATGCCTTTGCACTCGCCGTCAATGTGCTTGGAGTGCTGAGCAGGTTCTTGGTCGGCGAGTGAGGCGAGTGCTCCTGAACTCGATTCTTGGCTGGAGAGTGTTCCATTCGGGGCCGTGTAACTGGTGACGCGGGCCCCTTCTCCTTCTCCTGACTTGGGCATGCCTGACGGTTTGACCGTGGCGTGGATGTCAGGAGACTCTTGAGTTCAGGAGTGGGTGCGGTGCTGGGCCGGGACGGGCTTCCACTTAAGGAAGGCTCCTGTGGAGACGTTCCTCGGTTGCGGTTCGCACGGCGGGCAGAGTTGCTGGGTCCGTAGCTGGGGCTGGGTCGAGGTCGGGGCGCCGGGGTCGGCGACGAGCACTCAACGGGCTGGGCCTCAGAGTCTGGGGCAGCTACCAACACCTCCATGATCCCACTTTAGCAACTTTGTCCTGCTTGAGAGCCCTAGGCCTGAACCATAAAGCTGTCGCAGACTGCACTCATCCGCATCCGAGTTTAGCACTGCTCGCTTCACGAAGCACGAAACAACAGAGATGCCATCAGTCTTTCATGCCAATGACATGCGCTCCGTGCTAGGATCCAAAAAAAGGTAAGCCCGTGCGCAAGCTTAACTTGCCCGCAACCTCGGCTTGCCCCTGGTTGAACGTCTGAGGTCTGAGGTCTACTTGTGTCTGGCATGAAGCCCAGGTTTCCGTCCTCGACATTCACCATCTAGGAATAAGAAGCAGTGTGTCCAGGCTTGTGTGGACAGCTGCTATTCAAAGACATGCCAGTATCATGCCTTTGTGAGAAACAGCTGCCAAGGGCTGTGTCCGCCTTGACAAGCTGTAAATCAAGGATTCGTAGCCAGGACCGCTGACACCACGTATACTGCAGATCCAACTGAGTGTGTCGCTCCCTAGCGCAGTTTGACAGTGTTTTCGGAAGTGGCCACTGAGGACGGTGTATCAGGGGCTGCCTAAGTCGCCTGTTTAACAGGAGAACTGGAATTCAGCAAACTCGGAAACCAAGCATCGGCCTTAGGTCAGCAGAAGTCAGCGCGAGTTGGCATGCTTAGCAAAGCAAGAACTAAGAACAGCCCGCTGTGGGTAGGGGTTCGAAGGACGAGGCGCCACTGCCGGCTTCTGCTCAGACTCTGGAGCATTGTGCTCAGTGGTCGCTGCAGTCTGTTCATTTGAGATGCTGGCCTTGGTGCAGAGATGTGGCAAAAACTCTGTCCCTACCCCAACACAGAAGGGCTGCCGGTTGTGCCAAGCCGCTCCGGTCTCAGGCAGCACCTTGCGAAGCTGACGAACTTTACCAGTGCGCTGGTTTGCTTGCTTTCCTGTGGTGCCGTTGGCATCGAAAGTAAGTGTGTACCAAAACTGGCCATGACAAATACTCACCTTGGTCCCCGCATCATCTTTGAACTTGCTTCCAGGACAGAACGGGACCCATCCATCATCCAGGAGGACTTCCCATTTGGGTGCGGGCGGACCGAGATCAATGGGTCGGGCCTGGGTGCGCGGGCTTGGAGGCGGCCTTGCATCGGGCTGCCGCACTTTCAATGCAGAAGTGCGAGAAGGCCTGGGGCTGGGGGACTGTGCCCCACCAGAAGGACTACGAGAGCCAGGACTCGGTGTGGCCCGGTCTCGGTGTTCAGTAACGCCCTTTGTGTTTGGAACGGGCCCTGCCGCCTCAACGACCTTGGGGGCCGAGGTTCGGCGGAAGACTGCTCGAGAAGGCTCTGCCCCAGGCTGATGCACCTGCAGATCGAAGAAAGCGCAGGCTGCTTCACATGACATCACAAGACTCAGGCCCGTCCTTCAAAGCAGGGGAAGTGCAGGCGCCCCGAAAACCACCCAAGCGCATACCGTCCAGTGGCCAACTGCTGGCTGCGGCTGCGTCAAGCTCCTTCTGGTCCTTGAGGGTCACTGTCGCGGGCTTCGGCAAGTCCAGAGGAAGCGCGACGGGCAGCTCAGGAGAAGTTGATCGTCTCGGGGGGCTGGCACTTCGGCATCGACCAGTCCGGCTCGATGGCAGTGTCTCAATCTTGTCATAACTCTGCTTGCGAAGTAGCACTGCCTTGTTAGACCTTGGCACGATCAAAGGTGCCTTTCTACGCAAGTCCATCGGTGCAGAGTAAATGACCTGGTAGGCTGTATAGAGCCGACGTCCAGACTGGATTCGCCACACTCCGAAGGATCTCTCATCGTCGCCATCGCTGATGTCTGGCACGACAGCAACCACGAACAAGGTAAAGAGTCGATTGCCGGTCGGATTCTCTCCTTCGATCTCCGGGCCCGGCCCTTTGGCAGCATAGGAATGTGCCTTTTCTGCGATTCCGCCAAGCCATGTCCCTTTTGTAAGATGCCCGCAAGTTGGGTCCAAACCATTTTCAACAATCAGGGGTGCATAGTCCCAGCGCGTGCCGTGCAAGAGCATGAACTGCTTGTGGGTTTTCTGCTGGTTGGCCTGGTGCTGACAAGAACAAAATCATCGGCAAGCAAAACTCGTTCACGACGCTTGCAATTATCAAGCGTCAGAGACATGCAATATTGAAGAGCAAACGGGACAGTAAAGTACACACTCACCCTCAATTTTGAGGTTTGGTGGCCTGCTTCTGAAGGGAATCTCTCTCCTCCTCGCAGAACCTCCGCAGTAGTGAAGGCTTCACGACCCTGCGCACCTCCACAATGCTAACCCGGTCTGGTGGCATGGTCTCAAAGAGGACCCGCTCAATGCGCTGCCTCTCCTCCTCAAGCAAAGGTTCGGAAGGATCGCACGAGTGGCGCTTGCTTCGCCAAATCTCCAGAAGCTCAGCAAGCTGCTGCTTGGCCCTCCCCATTTTGCTGGGCTCCACAGACGAGGCCCGACTGCTGTTCAGGCTTTCTGGCAACTCCTCGCCGTCCTCATCCGTTCCCCCGCAGGCTGGGCTGGCAGGACGAGCTTCCTTGGCGCCGGCACTGCCGGGGACCTCCAAAAGCTTTTGCTTTGGTGGAAAGCTCATCTCCTCTATGAAGGCATCCATGATGTCACGGTCAGGAGGACTGCCAGACGGCACATCGGACTTGGGACTGGGGCTTTGCGCAGTTTTTGTGTCCTTGCTAGGGACGATCAACCTCTGCTTTGGATATGGCAGCGGGCGCTCTATGTTCCCCAGGCTTGGGACTTGCACATCGGCCCGTCGCTGCACGAGAACCCCTTCCACGATGCGACGCGGCATCGTGGCAGGGACGACCTGCCCTGGTTGCGCCATGGAAACGGTGGGATTGCCCAACTACACACCCGCTCTTGAACCAATCTGAGTCGTGGCAAGGCGAGGCACAGGATATGCTTTCAAGGCTCGCAAGGCTCGGGGTGTCCTAGGGCCCTAGGGTTCAAGGCAGGAAGCGCTTAGGCCTGAGCGCTCCGCGGACATGCCAAGGCCAGTGGCCAGGGTGCCTGAGGCTTCAGCTTTCCCTCCGCTGCCATGTTCGGCATTCTTCTCACAGTGCTTTCAAACAGTGCGCAGGTTGTTGCGAGTCTTCTGCCTTCGGGTCCGCTGAGCAAAGATTCGTCACTGCTGAAGGGGCACGCAGGTGTGATCCCACATGACTGCTCAGCTCCAGGCGTGAGGAAGGCAGGAACAACATCGAAGCACGGCCTTGTCCCTAGTTTTCACAAAAAGCGGCTCCCCGAGTCATCTGAAACCTCACAGTACTGACGAGCACAACTGCTGTGAAGTCAACGTGATTCTCACTGTCCGACATGGGGCTACCAGCGACTGATGAGCCAATGACTGACAGAATGCATCCTGCACCTCTTCTTGCATCTCTTACTTAGGTGGGTTGTTGCGGCAGACTCTCAAGCAATGATGAATGGAGCTGGTTCGGTCTAGTCTCCGAATTGAACTCAAGTATTCATGTATTGCGCATGCATCGAGCTCCTGAACTAAAGAACGTGGAAACCCATGGCCAGTCGATGTAGATTCATCCTTTTCGCTCGCGCAGGGTTGCACGTAGTGTGCAGTGTAAAGCCGTTGGCTCAACTATACAATTTTAGAGACTTAGAGCCGAGGAGCACGCCGCACGCCTGCCACACTGCCAGGGCCGCATTCGCAGCCCGACGGCTCTAATCCCTCGAATTTCTAAATCAGCACCGACAACACTTTCTGTGACGAAGGAAACGCAGCCAGTTTGGCCACTCAGTCCTCACAAACTCAACAAGACCACGTCTTTCACACCTAAGGCCAAAAGCCACACGACACAGCTTGTCTTGCTCTGCACTCGTGCGAACACTACTGCACTTTCTGATTGAGGAGAACCTGCGGCCCTGCATTGGTTCGATTCCGACCCTCTTGCCTCTCCGGCTGTCTTGCTGGTGCCCACAACAAGAGGGAAGATGGGACGAGCTTTAATGAATCCTACATGCTTTTGGATCAGAGCATGTGGTTTGGGCTGGCGGTGAATGTTTTTGGCTTGACCGGACCGAGACAAGCTAAGAAAACAAGTGCGTCTACTTTGGTGTGCGGCCTGGGTATGGCTTGCCTTCGCCTATTTGAAATCATGGGGTTTGGGACAACCTTCGGTTTCGTTGTCTAGGATGTCGGAGCTGCCACTTGCACTTGCACTGGCCGGGCCGCTGCCTACAGACACGGAGGCACGGGCAGAGACAGAGGGGGACAGAGACGAAGACAGAGCCAGAGAGGGCGCATCGAGACAGAGAGAGAGAGAGAGAGGGCGAGCTGCGAAGGCAGGGGCCGATTCTCATGTTCCATGATGTGATGTGCAAACCCAGTATCCGATCAACAGCTCACAGTGACTTAATCAAAGCAGCACTATGTAGAACAGCTCCTGAGTGCCCGGCTAGATTGCAGGAATGCAATTCCCAAGGCAGCCACGGTCCAGAGCGTCGTGCCTGGAGCATCTTCTCACGAATCGGAGGGACGTTGGAGGTATGCGGGACGGATCTGAAATAGCCCACACGTACAACCTCAAGACATTTTCAGGCTAGCATGAGCAAGCTTACTCCAAAATCTGCATGCCTGTGGGACAAGGTTATCAAGGGTTTATGATGAGAGGCCTGAACCGGGAGCCGCCTGTCATTCGACACAAGGCAACTTGCGAGATGATGCGCATGACACAACACCTCGTCACAGAGGATCTTAAGCTCTGTCCGATCTCTGAAGCCATGCTTCTCTCGGTCGGTTTGGTCCCGAACCACTCGAGCAGCGGCGCAATGTGCTGATGAGGCAAGTCTGATTTAGATCATCTGTCTATTGGTTGGGCTGAGTTAGAACAGAGCACTCTTTGCGCTTTGCAACTTGAGCTCCTGGCGCCTTGAGCAAACCTCAGTTGCCAGCATAATGAGGATGCCTGCCTCAACCCTTCATGATGTTGGGCACTTGCGATTGAGAATAGGTCCGATGATTCAAGTCTAGTCAAGATCACGCAGCGCAACAGAGATTCCGACTTCATTCCCAGAAGGATCTGTGCCTGGGCATGGACACCGCAGCAGCCTGTCACAATGGGTCACAAGTTGTGCAATGCGCTGCACATCATGCGTTACCCCTTCCGAACCTCCGCAGAGTAGCCGTCCAGAAGTCTGAAGAGCAATGCGCATCAATGCTGTCCTTGCGGCCGCCCGGATACTAGGACCCTGCGAATGTTCGGAGATGCCGGACCTACATTTACCAGTGGTGGTGTGGTGTGCCGAAAAGACTCAAAAGCTTCAAAGCCTACGGTGGCACATGAGCGACATGCGAATGTTGATGGCAGCGCCAATGCCGCATTCTCCCTTGTTTCTCTATTCGTTCTACTGTAGTTCCATTGAGATGCATGTGTCAAAGGGTAAAGTACATTGGTATCGCGAGACTCACTAACTCGCACAATCCTCGCACGATAATAAACCAAGCCAGCGGTGACTGTGCATGGCAGATCCCGGTCCACGGCAGACTCGGTTGTGATTTGCAGGAAACTGGTTGCCTGGCAGGTGCTCAAGATTGACCGAGCGAGTTCTATGCCTTGTGGCTGTTGTGCGCCACACAGAAGCATTAGAGGCTAGTGGCTAGTAGAAGCACAATCCAATACTGAAAACGCTGCTCCAGGACTTCGACTCGTGGTGGGCGGTTTCAGATCCCAGGCTTGAGAAGCCACCTCGATGTCGATTTCTTGTGAAAGGGGAGGGTCGTCCAGTCCCTGGCATCGAAGATGCGCAGACGGCCGTCTTCTGTCAACGGACATGTGCGCGCCAGATGCATCATCGAAGGTCTCTCTCTGGCCTCTGCTGGCTTCGATGAGTCCAGGAACAACTCCAAGCTGAGGACGATGAACAGAAGCGCAGCCTGTCCAGACTTTGGCATCTCAGATGCACGGGGTAGCTTCAAGGCAGTGACAATTCCCTTCACATCAGGCCCCTCTTTGCCTGCAAGAGTTGCGGAGGTCGAAAGCCCATCCTGGCTTGAAAAAGGAACATCCGGAGCTGGGCATTGCCCATGCCCATTTAGCTGTCATTCTTCTGTTTGATCTGACAGTCGAGGCTGAGGAACGACCGGAGCGTTCTGTGGCGAGTCCGCGCCAGGACAGTCTAGTCTGAACTCTCAGCAACTAAGAAGGAAATCTGAAATTCGCAATCGCAGGTCCAGCTAGCTAGTGACTAGTGTGTGGTTCTGCGGCTTGACCTGAAGGAGCCGACGCAGTGTTCTTTCGGATGGTCACTTGGTCGGGCCTTCAGAGGGCTGTCTGCCAACCAGCAGCAGTCATGAAACCAGGAAAGAAACGGGTTCGATATCGAATTGGCTTGAGCCACTTCTGCACGTGCGGCATCAAGAGCTTTCCCCATCATTATTCAGCACTTCGTTGCACGGAAAGCCCGGTACACCGAGCATCTCGGAATGCTGGGGTTGGTGCGACTAGTCTGTTACATTCTCGCGGCTGCTTGGGAATCATGCTAGGGTTGGATTTGTACGATTCTTGCGGCCTAAAATCCGTCGCAGCTTTGTGCAAAAGAAAGACCACATGTTGTCCCCTAATCAAATGGATCGCAGGCGTCTTCTGATTCACCCGTTTCAAGCAAAACAAGGAACCAAGAGAACGAGGACTCGAATTAGCTATGCAAAACGTGCACCTGTAGTGTACCAACATCATTGACGGCACATAGCGATCACAACCAAACAACAAGAATCGTAGAAACGGAGAGAGTCAAACGAACACTAAGGAACATAGCCTCGACCGCACGCTCAGGATCCTCTCACAGTAGTGGTGAATTATACATGCTGTCCCTCTCCGATCCTGTCCACTGTTGCATCTCTTTTTCGCGTGCCGAGCTGAGCTCGGAAGAGACGCTTGGACGACTCCAGATGCCTAGCTACCGTCTTTCCCTTTGACGGAACTCAGCCTGTCTCGCAGCTGAGCCGAAACTTTAGGCACTCAAGGCTTGGCTAATGTGTCTCAAGTCTGTTCGGCCTTCAGCTTGCACGCATGGTGCCAGCGCATTCACATGCTGCTGGACATCCTGGTCCAAGACTGCCTGAGTTTCCTGTTGAGAGCATGGATTTCTGGTGGAGGGGCGGCTCGCACATTGGTAACCGTACTTATAACGCTCCAAGCAGGAGACACAGGCGGCCCCGTTCACAGCGCGCCGTGTGCACGCGGTACTGCAATTCATGAGGGTAAGTGGCTTTGGGCCACGGGAATGACAATGCTCCAGTACTTAGAAAGCTTCTTGAAAACATCGAAACACCGCCCCAAGCCCAACCCCCTGATCAAGAGGACAGGAGGAGGACGACCCTTCTGGTCAGTCGTCCATGGCAGGTGCAGTCAGCTCGCCAATATGGTCATTGACCTTGACCTGGATGATTGCTCAAAGTTCTGTGGCGACAGTTATGGGTCATGAGAATACCTTGCTGCCAAGCGCATCCGTCTACTCATATGCTTTAGCAGCCGTGTGTCCTGGAGCCCTCATGCGCTGCTTGCAATCCAAAGCGGCTGGCTGCGCGCCATCAGGATTCTGTTGAAGCATCACACGGCTCGGGGCAGTGGTTCCGAGATTCGGCATTTTGCCAACCTGGCGAGGCAGCGGGGCAGCAGCCCAACAAGGCCAAGAGGAGTCTTCTCCTCCTCTCGTCTGATTCTGAGAGCTTGTCTGCAGTGGGTGCGCGCCCAGTGCGTGGATGTTGCTGACACAGTCATGTTCTATTTCCTAATTCTTGGAATAATTCACGTCCATACGGCTGTTCTTCCAAGCCTTACTAGTACGACAGCGTTCTTGATGCAGCCGGACGGCCGGCAATCCTCCGAAAGGTTAGCGCCCGCATCGCGGCAGGATCGATCTCATGTGTAGCTGCAGTTACTCGCCACACCACAACACAGCTCTTGGACGAGCATCTGTGTTTCGATTGAACTTTCTTCAGGAGTAGACCAGCATCGGGCAGGACAGCTTTGCATGGACGTGTAGCTGCAGATACTCGCCACACCATTGAATGATCAACAAGCCTTCCTCTGAGGCACACAAACCAGCCAACATCGCAGGCCTTGGCCATTAGGTTGTTGAGGTAATCCTTGAGGACGCCGTTCTCATCTCGAAGCTGGGTGTTTTCACCCTTTACCGTGTCCACCTGACGAGAAGGAGCTGGGGCTCCATCGTCGCTTCCTCAAAAGCCGACTCCGCTTTGCACTACAAGCCAGCCTTCTCTGACAATTCCGCCAAGCACTGCTGGAGCTCGACGACCTCTCTCTTCAAGGGGGAATATCTCGTCGTCATGCGGGATTCTTGGGGGACATACTCACACACTCAGACCATAAGCGGTCGACAAATCCCCAAGCAAAGCGGACTGCAACGTCAAGCTACCCCTCTCAAGGGAAGAACAACAAACGACGGCTCTTCAATGCGTCTTTGAAGTCAGAACCCAGGACCTAAGCTGGTTTCGCTGCCGACTGCGCCTTGCCTTCTGCATCAGCTCTTCTCTCGACAGGCCATCAAAGGAAGACATGAGGACTCATGCACCTCCGGCAAGGAACCAGGACCCCGGGCCCCAGGTCCCAGGATGCATTCAATCAAAGGTGGTGGACATCGTCGTAGGTCGTACGTGGGTTCATTTAAAGCGACCCCCTCGCGTCATGTGTTCCAAGCCACGGCCATGGCCTCTATGGCTATTGCCACGGCCCACAGCCCTTTGAGCAACTGGCCTTCGAAGATACAACGAACAAGATACCAAAACACCGATGCTTGCCTCGGCGGCGCTGTCTCTGAGGATCTGGAAACTGGTTGAAAGTTTTGGCTCCGAACCCGCCCGACACCCTACCCCGAGCTGGAAAAAGGTCAGCAGACATATGTGCAAGTGGAAGAAGGGGAGGCAAGACGACAAGGTTCTGGGTTTGGCATGTTCGCAGCTTCCAGAACTCGGGTGTTTTAAATTCGGCCTTGCCAGCAGCAGGGCTTCGACGAACAATCAACTTGCCGGCAATATCAAGTATGCTTCGGCTTGAGACCTCACTGCCAGAGCAGAGTCATCGCAGCGTCTGTAGTTCCGGCACTGCAGTGATGCCTTTCCCAGTGTGCATACACCCTCTCAGTCGGCAGGTGAAGCCATGAAGCAGGCATGTAATTGCGAAGGACGTTTGCAAGAAACAAAAGGAAAGCATCCCAGAGTCTCCGTGCTAACTGCTAACGCTGCAGCCATTGCTGTGCATTCCGGGGAAGCTCCTTTTTGCCGGTGGTACCAGGTAAGCACGCGGAATCCTCGTCTTCAGGTAGGCTACTAAAGGCAGGCCGGCGATGAATGGCTGAAGTCGGTGTTGCCTTTCCGAGATGAAAGATGATGTAGCTAGGATTTGTCTTGGGCGAAAGGTCCAGGAGCATGATAGGCACTCACCGCAGGCCGGCGAGGAGTGCGCCGAGCGTTCCAGGACCCATGTCCTCGGACTGTTTTCTAACAGTGCAAACCTTTTCATGGAACTTTGACACCTCACCTCCTCAACATCCACGTCACTTGCGCGCGTAGGTCAGCGAGAGCCTGGCGAAGGACTGCACATCATGGTCCATCAAACGTAGGGAATCGCTACTTGCTGTGATGGGCTTCAGTTGCTTGGGTAAACTACAAACCAGTCTCCTACAAATGGGCCGTTTGTGTCCGTGTCTGTTTCCGTCTATCTCGGTCTGCCTCCAGCTGTCTGTCTCTGTCTGTCTGGCTGTGCACATCCAAACCTGCAGCGCTGCAGTCCGAACACCCAAGCGAACAAAGTGATTCGAACGTGTGCGAAGCCCTGAATTGGAAAGCTGTTTGCGTTGTTCCCCAATTTCAGCATAACGGGCCTCACTTCCGGCGTCATCTCGAAACCCTGCAGTCCCTGCATGGCCATTCCAGCTTGATACCTGCTCTTTTCATTTGTCAGCGCTCAGCGGGAAAGGCCAGGGCAGGTGGGGAATATGACATTGCTTTTGGTCTGGAATTTCCTCCGAGCTCCGACTCATGAAGAGGCACAGTCATGTTCTGCATCTCTTTACTCTACACTAAGAACAAGACAAGTTCAGGCCAATTCGATGAGCACAAGCTAGAGTCGATAAGCGTCAATGATCTTGCAGGATGAGGCGTAACTCTTCCTCATCATAGACATCTCGCACAAGGGGAAACGAAAGAAGCCATGAATTTCTCTTCATAGCCTCATCCCTAAGGGCACCTGCTGTTTTGGATGCTTTTTTCCAGGATGCCGGAACCGAGATCAGAAGAGGCACTCGTTCTGGTAGTCGGCAAAGGCGACGTTTCGCCCCGGGATCAGCCGGACCTCTCGAGTCTAGAGTCGAGGGAAGGGAAATTCAGCTGACGCCGTTCAGCGCTGCCAGGGACCTCCTGGAAGCCCGGATACTGGCGGAAGAGCATCGACAGCATCGTGTCTGTGGCCTGGCGCAGCGGGATCTGGAGTGGCTCGTTCTGGCCAATCGGACTTCACGGCTGGTGCCATGGGGCGTTGGCAAGTGTCTTGTAGAAAGGCCACAACTTGGTGCAAACTGCGCCTTCCCAGCGCAAAAGCTTTGAGCTTTACGTTTGTTTGCGCTTGCGTCTGGCAATTATATTTCCAGCCACCGGCACTGCATGACGGTGTCAAGCCCAGCTGTGGCCGGCTGCACTACCGAGATCTCCCCAAGCGGGGGCAACTTTCAAAAATGTGCCCAGCCCTGCACTCTCCCCTTCCTCTGATGCCTGAGCCTCTTCCCCAAGCTCTCTGGCCCGCCAACCGTGCTAGGTGTCTGAACCTCGAAACTATGCACCCTGAAGATGCGAGCTGTGTTGCGATACCTCTGCCGGGAGGTTTTCCACGAAAAGCGTCCGGTTTGGCCTGAAATCAATTGAATGTCATGGCGATACCGGACATAAGCGAAGGAGACGGTCGTCAACCGGAATGGAGACTAGTGAGCTGCCCAGAATGCTACTTAGTAAGTCGATTGCAGAACCACAACTCGTCGGCATGCACAGTGCCATATCGCGCGCGGTGCCATGACTAAGAGCTGCACTCCGCCGGCTTTGATGACGACGTCGCCGACTGACAGGATAGTCAATTGTGCATAATCGGGGTCCGGAACGGCCCGTACCGACTCAAGGCACCATGTTGTGCATTGACTGAGCCTTTCGCCGCGTAGTGTGTGCCAATTCCATGCGAGACTTGTGCGGGAGGAGACGCTCCCAGGACCAACCCAATGCCAGTGCTACTCTAAGGAAGCCGACCCGGCCTTTGATGCCGTCTGATTCGGGTTCCATCCGATGCGGTCCTGTCGCAGTTCGCGGAACTGGCAAAAGCACGACAACGGCATGGAGCGGTCTGCTGAACTCAAGGCATACTAAGTAGACCACTTGTCGAACACTGCACTAACAAAAGAAATCAGTTCTCAAGCAAGCAAATGGCCTTGTCACCCTGGCAACCATAACAGGTGCATCTGCAACTCGCGCAATTTTTGTGTGCTCCCGCTGCTTGTGGGGAGGCGCTTCTTGCGCATCACGTGCATTTTGCGAATTCATTGAAATCACCAAAAGACTCGAGAGGTCAAGCTTCAACGCTTCAGCCCAAAGCCTCAAAAGCAAACCACAACACCTCCAGTCCGCAAGTCAACAAAAACCTCCAGCACTCGGAAGCCGCCCCTCCCGAGTCCCCTGAAAGCTCTGTAGGATGCTAGTACTGATATAGTCGTATAGTTTCGAAGTTCAAACAAAGCGAACAGGATGTTTTGTGTGTGTGATGAATGTTTCATGGCTGCCTCGGTGAATCATGAGGGATTACCACCTAGGTGGACGTGAAGTTCACAACTTCGTTGAAGTCCGGAAGGATGGCGCAAGAAGGCGCACGAAGCTTTGAGAGGCGCTTGGCACGTGGCATTTCGCCAAAGCGCAGCCAGCCCTCGCAAGGATCCGTGGAAGGGCAAAGCGGATTTGCAGTTGTTGCAATTTGGGTCACAGGTGCTGCGATTGCAGACTCCGTCGACGCTATGTTTCCCGAAGCCCTACACTCACAATCTTCAGAGATCTTCAGAGCTTCTCTGCGATCTCCAACTTGTGGACATCGCCAGGAGCTCAAAAGCGGTTTAATAATGCTTTTGACGTGTGCCGAGGCTTTCGGCTTTTGGTGTGACGAACATCGTTATTGAACTTGCATATCTAGAGGATACTCACGGAAAAACTATCACTTCATTGCAAAGTCGGAGCGAATTGACCAAGAATCCGACAACTTTGTCGAACTCGTAATCATCCGATCCAGGAATGATCACATTCCTGAGATGTGCTCATTGCAGCGAAGCACGCTGAGCAGCGCAATCGCAACAAATGCCGACTGAAAACTGCCAACTCTTGACCTCGATGCCCAGGCTCGGACAATGCCCATTCCCGGACAAGGACAGGAGGTAGTTGGAAGCTTCAAGCTCCTGTCAAGGCTCGCTCGGATAGCCCGTATGGGGCCCAAGGTGCCTGAAGTTGCGTCCACGTACAAAGGGCTTCCTTGCATGTCTTTGCGTTGAGCCCATGCCCAGATCATGTTACGTGCACCTCCGCACCGTGTACTTGCCGACAAATGGACGGCAACGCTGCGTCCATCAAAGCAGTACAGCACGTAACCGAACTAGGGCACTCTTAGAGTCTGAGAGCAGATCAGACCCTGCGCGCCCGATGATGCTGCTTCGGTGCAGGGCGGACAGCAGAGATGTCCTTCTTTCATGTATGAAAGCCTCGCTATGAATCCTTTATCCCCAAACTGTTGTATTTTTGCTGCTTATAGTTTTACACTCAGAGTGGGATTAGTCGTAGCACTCCTGTGACATACATTCAAGCCTTATCGTTTGTACTGTCGTTAATGGCGGTACGATGATGCGGAGGACGAGGCGGAGGAGCGGGAGGAGCACGGTGCTGTTGGAAATGACAGCGAGGGACTGACGACGATGACGACGTTACGCCTGTCAATGGATTCTTTGCCAAACCATGGATTCTCGAAGCGCCTGCGGCGTATGCTCATCTGATGCTATGCAGAAACGCCGCAACACTTCAGGTCCTGTGCCAGCTCAATCGCTGACTCCGCCCTCAGTTTTCTTGATGGTTGTGTGGATGCCGTAGATACTACTTTCGGACAATTTGCAGCATTGCAGCGCTTCTCGGGTGTCGCACTTCCGGGCTCGGATCGAATACTGCACACAAGTAGAACAGTTGTGCGATGTAGGCGATGTAGGGTAAGCTGTAAGCCCGTAGAATCTCAACTAGCAGCAAGGTGGGTTTGTCCCTGTGCCTGCATGCAGCATTGATCCAGTTTTCTTCTGTCAGCGTTTCTGCTGGCCCTGTCTGTTTACTGTCTATGGTTGCATTCCCATCTTCGGCCGAGCCGCTTGTCGTATGACACGATCCAGTCGCCCGTGTTATGGATCGCCATGTATGGAGGTATGCCTTCGGAGCAACTCGTCCGACTATGCGATTTGAGCATCTGCGGAAAAGGCTTTGTCACACGCTTTATTTTAATCTCT